AAGACGTCATCGTCTTGAAATGTAAGGCCCCGATGACTTGAACCCCGGATCCGCGCACCCGAAGCGGGCTCAGGCTCGGGCCCCTCCCTTTCGCTGGTTGGGGCCGCAGAGCTCGGCCTCGGGGCCACGGTGGTCGTGGCCGCCACGGCGGTGCTCCTCCGGAGGCTTGCGAAAACTTGCACAGCACCAGCAGCATGAGCAGTTCGGAACGTCGAAATTGTGCTGGGATGGGGAGAGAGCCCGAGAGAGAGTGTGTGTGGACATGGCCGTGTTTGGCATTCACATGGGCAGGTTCGCGACACATGTCCGCTACCACTACCAGCTCCTCTCAGGCTGGACAACAGCAAGACCGAAGCTGTTTGTGTTTCGCTTGCTGATGATGCGCTTATAGCGCAGGCGACAGTAGCGACGAAGAGGCAGACTTGCTGCTTGACTCTGAAGCTCGTTAGCTGCGCCTGGCCTACCGGAAGTTCGGTTGCCTTTCAGGCCAAAGTTACGTTTCTTGGGCCCCTGGCTTTAGAACATCAGATGCCTGCACGTTGTACAAAAATCAGGGCTGATCAGGCGTTTGACGGCGTTTGCTGAGCACAAAAACCGCTCATGCTGCACTCCGGATTCAGGTTTAGGGCTTTCGGTTTGATGCGCTAAACTGCAGATATTGCTATCTTCAAGCAGAGTTCACGGCTCAATGTTAGTCGGAGGGCTTGGTTCGCTGGACAGTTTGACCAGATATACGGTAGCAGTTAGCTCGGCGGTTCATGAGTCGTGGAGATGCGTTGTGGGCCGAGAAGGTTGACCGCTGTTCCGAATGTCAGACACCACAACAACAACAACAACAACAACAACAACAACAACAACAACAACAGCAACAGCAACAGCAACAAGACAGCAGCAACGGTGGCGACGACGACCACCACCACCACCATCACCACTACTACAATCGAGCACACCAGCAAAACATCTGCAAGTGCAACAGCAACAGCAACAGCAACAGCGGCAACGATGATGCTGCAGGCGATGTTGCTCACAATGTCGGCAACACTCGCCACCACCGCTGCAGCTGCGGCAACAAGAACGACCAACAACAAGTGCAACGATGACGGCGACGATTACGATAAATGCACCTTCAGCAGCGACGCCCTGCTGCTGTTGTTGTCGTTGTTTTCCGCATGTTGCTACTTGATGGTCATTCCTTTATTGTGCTGGCCATGGCAAAAGCATTACTAGCAGTTGCAGCTGCCGTCGTAGTCACAGCCCAGTCAAAGCCAAGCCACTGCATTTTTAAAGTCAGAGCGCTTAAAGCCGCGGCAGACCGTCTAGTCTAGTGGTCTAGCCTGAACGCCTCCGTATCTAACCAGAAAGACTTTTGAAACGGCAAGGCCCTGTGTAACAAGTCTCCATCTGGCCGAAAAGCCCTGTCGAGCAGCAAAAGCCTAAGCCCTAGCCGTTCCCAAGGAAGTTCTGAGCTTTTGGAGCCCTAAACTTACATCATCTTACATCCCAGCCAAGCCAGAACCCGCCAAACTAAACCATCGAACCCGGGAGCCGCCTTAGTCTCGAACCGGCCCTGTAAACCGCTTCCTTGCCGAGTGCTTGTGGGCTCAGGATCTGGTAGGATCCACCTGCCTAGGGGAATGGAAGGCTTCTAGGCAGAAACGCACTATGTAGATGAACTTCGCATGTTGACATGGTATGACTTGTGAAGAGAGCTTTGTAAAGACGTCCCTTTACTCTCTAGGCCAGGAGCTGACCGCTTGCGAGCCACGCCCGATGAAACTCGGCTTTTGATCGCAAGGATGTTTCACAAGCCATCAAAACAACTCAACAGCCCCAACCACAGAAGCAAGGATCAGGCAGTTCCTAAGCAGGAGCCGCGCTGGATGTGACCTTTCGCCAGGCATCGTTCCTTCCTTGTTCCTTTTTTGGGGATAAGTTATAAGCTTCCCCTGGTGAGCATGATTACTCAAGCAGGTTTGTTGAGCAACGCAGCCTGTATTCAGATGGCACACCGAGCTTGTGTCTCTCACGCTTCGGAACTAGGGCGTCAGGCACGAGATGTCGGAGCGGAGATAAAGCCTCTTGCGAACCCGGGCGATCACGAAGGCTTCAGGCTTGCAGGTTCCCAGATGCAGCACCTTCGGACTAACGTTAAATTACCGTTCCCTTTACAGCGTTGGGATCCTGGGCCGCAGGGCTTCCGCATGACTTCTATTGTCAACCTGGATTTTGCATGCGGGTACATTTCCGAGTCCAGACACATGTCAAAGGCTTGCCTGCCATGCCGTTCACGGGATCGTGCAGAAGGCAGAAAACAGCAGAGTTAAAAGGATCACAACGACAACAGAAACTCCGCAGGGCATCCTTGTCGCGAGGATGGCAGCCCAAGGAGGCACGCGGCTGATGGGGATCTAGTTGAGCCTCGGAGCGTTATCAGCGAGATTCCACGTACGAATGTAGATCAAAAGATAGAACATAGTCGAAGATGCACATAGGGAGTTATCCAGTCGGGTCGAGGTCTGAGGCACTGAATGTAGGCTCTGAGCAAAAGGTCCTTGGGTCGTGGGTTTAGATGTTCGTGATCCACATGAGCATTGCGTGCAGTGATCCGGTAGTGGGCTTTTCGGTTTTGATGTGTAGGCCTTGCAGAAAATGCTTATACCGTGGTAAGATGGACAGGCATGTACGTTGTGACTCGGATAGATTTTGAGTGGCCAGCCAACCAATGCCTTACTATGCACGTGTTCACACACACACAAGATGGCATAATTAGAGATATCCGATATCCTCAAAGCTCCAGCCGCGGATATCTCCTCGCCAGGAGCCGCCAGGAACCGGAGAGCCGCTACCTTGGGTGAGGAAGGTGGTTTCAAGGATCCAGCAGGGTTGTGTACCCTTCGCCGCGCACAGGGGAAGCAGAGAAGTAGAGGGAGGTGCTTCGGATGAGATTCCGAAGGAAGTGCGCGGCTTGTGGCTACCATTGATGCAACAGCAGAATCTGACTCAAGCTGTGTCAGCATGAGCGGTCCGTCTGTGTGGTGCGACGCGGGAGAGGGTGCCTGCAAGAAGAAGAGAGCGGCGGCTGTGTGCATTGCCATGATGCGTCAGATGGATCCAGTTGGTCATCATCCATCAGCTGCACCCATGCGTTCCATCTGTTCGGAACTGCTGCGAAGAATGCCAATCAACAAAAACCGCACCTGATCATCGAGCGCGATTAATCAAGCAGTGACATCTCGTGCTTTCCGCAAGATGGAAACATTCGTCTGAGGTCCTGTGCACGGCAGGGATCCCCGGAGATGCCGGGGATTGTTCGGTTTAGGCGGTTCCAAAAAATCTAAGAGGTTTGGTTTCGGCACGGATTCTAAAAACGGCTTGAGATGGGAGTCCAGAATACTTTCAGTGTGGCTGCGAAGTTTGATTCTTCATTTCAACGTTGTCATCAAAAAGCGGCGCAATCCTGGTGTCCAGATCTGTTCAGTTCACAGCCGCCAAGGATCGGATTGCAGGGGCAGAGAGGGTTCAAGTTCAATTTGGAAGATTGCTACGTGTTGCGGTGCTTGGCGAGGATGTCCGGGCTTATTCGTCCGGCTCTCTCGTAACCTTGCGAACTTACGGCCTTCGCTCCGGTTTCGCAGGCAGTCTTCCCCAGAGCACAGGACAGGCAGAATTCTAACCTGTCAAAAAAATGGCTGGATCCGTTGGCAGTAGAAGATAGGCATCCAGCAATGCATACGTGAGTTGATTTGAGCCCCCGGCTCTTGACATAATCGTCGCCGCAGTGGCGATTTGATCCTGTTAGCATAGCCGTGCCACGCAAATACAAGAACGTGTAAGAGACCGCGTAATGCAACCTAAGCTCACGCTGAACTTCATGCTTGTCTAACCTGCATGTGTGCAACAACAGGCCCCGCACAGTGTCCAAAGAAGCAACCAGGAATCAAAGTATCTGTGGGTAGCATTGACTCGTAAGTTTTGGATCACCTTAAGTACCTGAGCACGGGGCATCAGCGTCGTTGTGATTGTTGTAACTGCTAGGGTACGCAGACAACGCGCTTTCATCAACAGCTTGGACAGCTTTAATTACTATTGAGTCACTATTAGTGTTATCACCAACGAGTTGTGCTTTGGAGTGTCTGGCATCGTGTTTGCACAGCTGCCGTGAGTATGCGGGAAACGTAGACTAGACAGATAGAGGTTTGGATAGAGGGTCAAGAGGGTGACATGGTGGAGGCTGCAGTAGGCTAGTAGTAGGCTCGTCCTGGACAACATGAACAAAACGTTTGAAAAGCCAACTCGAAAGGGTTTACCCAAAGCTGGGCAGATTGTCCGAGCCCTCCGCTCCAAATCGGACCTTTACAACAGGTTCTGGTCGTAAGTTCTCGTGTCGCCGTGACTTTCGGTGACTGTGCCAAGCGCTAGAGTAGTTCAACCAAAGTCCTCGACACTGCCAAGTCCGAAATTCTCGGTTGGCTACTGAAGGCAGGGATGAGCATGGTTGGGCCACTGGGTGACGGCACTGCGCCACCAAGGACCTATTTGCCGTGAGGCCTTCAGGTGTAGGCTTCGTGATGGATTGAAAGTTCGGGATGGGCCGTGTCCAGGAAATTCCAGAAAGAAATCCGATGTTGTAACGCGCTATTGCCTGGCGAAAGCAGCAGCCTTTTGCATCCCTCTGCAACGAAGCAAACGAGACGAGAACTCCTGCAGCATCATGTCGTGCGAGAGACCCGAACCCGCCATACTGTGACCGAGGTGAAGTCTCGAACCCACAAGAGCTGAAGGCTGAAAGCCGATGACACTAGTTGCACCGCCCACTTCCTTGCACATGAAAGAAGGAGAGAGGTAAGCATCCAAGAAAGGGAAAGAGCATTCGAAGAATTTTTTATTGGCAGTGAAGAAGATTGTTGTTGAAGCAAATTGAGCGAACGAGCAATCCGGAAACCTGAGAGACTGCAGCCACCTTGGCTCTTGGGTCGTGACAGCTTCACGGACCACCCACAATGAAGATGGCCATGGCCTCAGCATCCAAAAAGTGAGTGAAAGGATCCGCAGGTGGTCGAGGATTTGTTTGCAGGTGTTCCGTTTCCCTTGCGTAGGTGGCTTCTGTGTGCGATTCTAGGAAACCGGTTCCGGATCCACACTTCTACGTACTGGGCAGTGCTGTTGCCGAGGGTGGTCCACTGAAGGAAATTTGTGCGTCTCGAAGTTGTGGAGTAGGGGGTGTGAAGGTTATTAAGGTTATTATTAAATGGAAGTCTGAGAAGCATACATTCGCGAAACATAGATTGAGAACGCAACTAGGTGATCTACCGCAGACCAAGCTAATAAGACGTGGTCTCCAAAGTTTGTGGACGCGTCCTGGAAGTTTATTTTAATTATTAACAACACTCCTCAAATCCTGCATCCTGGACGGTGCTGCTGTAATCTTCTGGCCCCGAAGCGCTAATCTACGCTACTGTGCGGCCTTCCCGCTCTTCACCAATTCCCGACGAAAGATTCACACCCCAGAAAGTCACTATTTCCTTCCACTGAGGCCTCGGGCGGTTCGGGGCTTCTGGTGTTTGCTTTCCTTGCAACGGCGAAGGCCAGCTTCGTTGAATCAGATCGCGTGAGACTTGGGCCATGGAGGGACCACAACTCTGAAGTGTGAGATGTGCTTCTGGAGGCAGCCAAGTTTCAAGCTCAAGTTCTTCCCTCTATAAGGATCCGACTTAGGGTCCTTGTAGCTCTTGAAATCTTAAATACTTGAGTCTAACCCTAAAGTCACGAATTGTGATATTCAGGTGTCACTATAGATCACAGAAAAAGGCTCTGTCCCATGCTGCCCGTAACCATGCCCTCCTAGTAAATGCCCCAAACTACAGTACTGGCAGAGGCGCTGACGCCGCGCGCCCTAAACCTCAACAGCGAAGCAGAATTTGTGCCGCAGGCCCTTGCTGGGGGGTACTAGTGTCTCGTTGCGGAACTTGAGCTCAAAGTATCTAGAGAGCTTGAGGGTTTTCGGTAGATTGTCGGCATTGACGGGCAGACATGTGTTCTTGAAGGCTGGGGGTGTCAGACATTCCGTTTGTTGTGGTGCATAGCTTATGCTGGGATTGTGGGCTGCACTTCGGTAGCTGGTTGGTGGTTGGAAAAAGAGTCTGCAACAGAAAAAGGCCGGGCAGTCGGCGGCTGCGCTCTACCAGACGAGCCAGCTCCTTTCCAAAAGTTTGATTCGGGTTTTGGATGTGTCTGTACCGTTTGAGGGCGTTGAGGCCTTTTCAAGCTTGTGTGGTTTCATGTTCCTCGTAGAAACCCTGTGCAGGGCCTTTGCTTGCAGCAGCTCCTGAAGTTACCAAGGACGACGCGCGATGGCCATGTGGAAGCATTGGCAAGAAGAGAGCAGGCGGACATGGGATTCGTTTGTCGGTTCCATGCCATCTTCCAGGCGTCTTGAAAGTTGCCTTGTCGCAGCATTTCAAGGAATATGTACGTATTCTAGGTAGGTCTGTGGCTCTCGTCGCACCTGTAGAAAACGATAGAACATCCGCTAGGAGACAACTACAAGGCTGCCTGCCGTTTGATGTTGTGTTTTTGGATGTGTTTGGGCTGTCTTGCTGTGATAACTTCAAAACAGTCAGGACTTTTGCAGTGTTCTTGGTTAGCCAAATCTTGGATTTGCTGGAGTCTTGGCCAGCGCTGGAGCACCGTTCCGTTCCGACACTGACCGAAGCAGGCGGTGATGCTTCGAAGAGCAACCTTCGACCGGAAACCGCAGATAAAGGTCCGACCAGATTCCGTTAACACTCCGATTCCAGTGACAGGCTGCGCTCCAATCCCAGCAGGTTGCCCTGGAGGCCCTGGCACAGCAGGCCGCGGAATCGGGTTGGGAGAGTTTGAAGGGTGCTTGTGCGGTGTCGAGTTTAGGGGACCACACGGTCAGATAATGATCGCTTGAACTTGGCATGAACTTCGATCCCGATGCACTGAAAAGTCAAGAATGCTTTTGTCCTGGCTCGGTTTTTACGCCACATCATAAGCTTGATCGCATGCCAAAAAAACTTAACTTGTTTCGACTGCGCATGATACATTCGGTGGCTTTGTGGCTTCGGGTTCTGAGGCTTCGCAGTTTCATTTTTTCCGGATGTGGGGATGTGGGGTCTCGGGATCCCAGTGAGAAAGCTTCTGGCTTGCTGCTGCTCCTCGAGCATCTACAGCTACGCACGGTTACCCCTGCTCGGAGTTCTGAAATCGAGTGGACAGAGGCGTTTCGGTGACATGCTGCGCTGTTTTGGCATGACGCGGGATCTGGTGCGCTGTGTGACAGCCATGAGCACAGAGTTCTGCAGCCTCAGCTGCTGCAGCGAAATAGCTATACCTTACCACTGAGTCGGGAAATCAGATGTCAAGGGGTATGCAGACAGACCGGCTCCAGACGGGCAACGCGAGAAGGACCTCCCTGATCCTCAACCAACTTCTTGCCTTCCCGTGGCGAAGGCAGCAAAGGACAGCGACGAGACGGAAGCTTCATCTGCATATGTAGGACAGTTAGTCTTGGGGGCCCACATATATTGCGGCTTCAGGGTCGAGCACCTGAGGTTCGAGAAAATGCACAGTTCCACTAGAGGAAGTGGATGTTGATGTAGCAGTTGAAACCTTCGACATTGGAGGGGTTCAGTGCAGGGTGTCGGGATGCGTCGAAGTGACCGACCACTCCGCCTAGCACGATGAGGAGAGCATGTACATCGCCGAAACAAGCTACGTCGACCTCGATCATTTTGTCATTGCAGGCCCCATCCCAAATCCTGTCCCTGGGCCGATCTAAGGCAACCTTGAGGTCGGAGCTGAAGAATGTCGAAGCCAAGGACTGCTACATTCCTCAATCTTTAAAGTCTTGTGCGGTTTCCACGAAGTCTTCCAGTCTTCTGAAGCATGGCATGACGGCTGCGGCCATTGCTTGTAACACAAGACCCTCCATCAGCTCTTTCCCTAAAGCCCTGGAGTGCTCAGCCGCAACTCGAAGGTTTCGGCCCTTTTAGACTTTGAGCTGGTAACCTCTTAGGGCCTAAGGGACCATTTGCCTCAACCCCTTTGATCTCCGATCCTGCACCCTCAGGAGGCTGCCTTGGAGGAGCTACTTGGATCAAGAGAACCAGAACTGAGAACCAGGAAATAAGTTTGTTTGGCTGCATGCCATTGAGTTAATTGGCTGGTATATATTGACCAATGGAGAAAGAGGGATTGCTTCCTCGCAGGGATGGATTCCGGAACTTGAGCTCGAGATTCCTGAGTCCACAAGGCTTCAACAAAGCGACCCGAAGCCACCGTCAGGCTGGTGCAGCGCCAGTCGAAAGAGCTGCTGGCGGAGAAAGCAGGCCATTTGCGGGCCCAGGCTCCGAATTCTCCCGGGGGCTTTGGGATTTTGTCGACGGCGTAAATCGGCGTAAAAGCTAGGAAAGCACGGAACAGTTTATCGCCTCAACTGAGAATTGCCAATTGGTCACGCTATGCTGCTACTTCCGATTTCCTAGCCATCCCGGAGCCAATCGCCGAAGTCTCGTGATGTCCGGAGACCTGGTGTGTTTCGAGACCTCCGCGCGCAACTCAACACCTACTGTGCTGCAGGGCACAGCTCGTGTTATTGGGTATTTATGGGGCTGCTAAACAACATTATTTTCGCATCGCTCTTAAGTTACGATAAGTGGCAATATTGAGCTGACGACGAGGATGTGTGTGTGTGTGTGTGTGGTGTTGATGTTGATGGCGGTGAAGCTGTTGAAGAGGCGGGCGCCAAAGATGGAACATGACGGTCGTGATAGCACTTAGAAGGGGCCGGCGGCGAGATTAATGATGACATGTTGGTCATGATGATGAGGATACCGCTGATGTTGGTGGCGGTGATGTCGATGATGGCAATGGCGATGCCGATGGTCATCGAGGCGGCTGTGATGATGATGCTGATGCTGATGCTATTGCTGGATGATGATGATGATGATGATGATGTGATGGTAATAGGGCCTGAGGCAGACGACGGTAATGATGAAGTTGTCATGCGGCAAACGGGAGGATAGCCAGCATCGGAACGAGAGTGTCGCTGTCTCGATAGCTCATGGTAGCTCATGCGCGGTGCTCTGAAAGAGTGTAGTTGTGATACATGCAGCAGGCGCAACTCCAAGATCAGCAGGCTTCTCTGCATCGAGCGAAGCTGCAGGCAGACCTCGCAGGTGCCGCCGTCAAGAAAATGATGTTGATGATGATGATGATGATGTTGATAGTGACTGATAGTGACGATGACGAAAATGATGATGACGAAGGCGATATTGAAGATGGCAGCGTCGATGGTAGTGGTGGTTGCGGTGGTTGTGGTGTTGTTGTTGTTGGTGGTGGTGGTTGCAGCAGTGGTAATGGTGTTAATCATGATCACCATCACCATCATGAGGAGGATTTCTTTTCCCAAGCTGTTGTTACCGCTGATTCTCTTCCAGTCCAAGCTCGGGATGGTTTGAAGGGTCGCTGTATAGTCGGGATGGGGGTGCTCCTCGATTGAGCATGGCTGCACTTCGTGTGGCAGGCTGCAGACGTGGCATTTCCTGCACAATCAACTCCAGATGCACCAGTTTTACTCAAGCTAGCAGCCTTCAGAATATGCATCTTGGAAGGTTGTGGAACACCGAGATCTAGTAGGGGGTGCATTCAAACACAAATCTCGGCACTCGAACACGGGCTCTACCAACTGTGAAGGAGTTGCCAAGTCGTCTTCAGCCTTACTGGGCATCGCCGGGAAGAGCGCGGTGGAATTTAGCAGCCCGGATTCGCTATGGTGTGGAGTTGAAGACTCGGTGGTTTATGTCGGGTAGATGCGCGATGGATCCGGGCGTTCAGTTTTGTTAGGGAACTCAGGTGGAAGCCGAGAATCAAAAAGTCATCGCAGCATTCTAGCATGATTGGTGAGCCTGAGAAATGTTGAGATAAACGTTCCATCGATGCGAGTGTTTCCTCTCCAGAAGCGCCTCGAAGCCCCGCCACGACTCAGTTTCATGTCCACGGTCGCCCCTCTGCTTTTTTCCGGCTCCCGTGTAAGGCCTTGACGCTTTGAAAGACCAGCTTCTGAGCGGAGCTGTTTGCCGGCTGCACATGCGTTCAAGCTTAAGGCCTCCAGCAAGCGGTTGCGGCGGAGTCTAGGTCAAAGATGGAAAAGGGAGGCTTGAACTGGACTTCTGTGTCCAGCACTCCTGACCTTCAAGCTGCCCGAGCTCAACAGTTGCACCATGAGGTCTCACTAACTCGGCACGGATTTTCCCGTAACCAGCCCCGAGACATTCGACCCGAGCAGTTCAGCCGTAGCTCGCCGTGCATGGGACGTTCAAAGGTGTATTTCTGCCTGGTGATGATAGCAGCGTACCTTTATGTGAACCTTGGCTGCAAGCGGCGGCGGTTGCAAACATGCATCTCCCTTGGTGCCGCATGGGTTGCAATCTTCCACACACACGTAGTGGGCAGTTGGAAAGCCAATACCCAGTTCCTTATTGGACATCAGAGGCACGGTTATGGAACCCCGAGGCTTTTGCTTCCGGCGTCGAACCTTACCAGTGTTTGGTGCTCACGGCAGGAGAGAAGCATCGAGAAGCCAGAGGCATACTTGTAAACTCGACTGGACATCCATCTCCAAGTCATGGCAAACGTATAGCCAGAGCACGCGTGTGCTGTTTGATCGTTTTTGCTTTGCATGGCAGCCGCGGAACTCCACGGCCCTCCACTGAAACCTGTCGCGTCGAACGACAGATTCCAACATAAAGACGCGCACGCATCTTCCCTTTTCTGCCCAGTTTCGCTTTACTTCTTTTCTGAAAGCAGTCCCCGGCCAAATCAAGCTGTCACATCACAGGCCAGCCCTACGGCTCTGCACACTTCCGACTTGCGCTTCGGAACAGGTAGCTCAGCCCGCCGTTGCTTTCCGTCTTGCCAGCCCCCCAGCCCCCATCTCAAGCCCCCCCTTTTCGAGCCCCCTTTTATGGCAAGAGCAAGGGGGAGGGGGGGATGGCGGGCTTGCAACTCGAACAATGGTTTTTTTGCGCACCGTCAAACAACATTAAGACCCATCGTGCGGGGTCCATCCGTACTACTATACTATATACTTGATACTCAAATTCCAAGGATATCTAAGTCATAACTCTTGCAACTTATAGCTGCACCTCGGTTAATCTTGTCCAGCATGCAAGGTCCCTAAATTGGCATGAAGTGGCAAATGGCTTGTGTGAAGACTTCCGGCTTCGAAACCTGTTGGGTGGCCTCCCGGCCGTGCATGAGGCGAAGCCGAAAGATGCTGACAGCACAACCATGACTTGTGGAGTGTGGCATCATGTCGCGGTCTTTCACAGATTCATTGTTTCCTCATGCTGGAGTCCATTTCATCACGTGACTTTCTCACCCGTGTTGGAAACCATTCAGCCAGAGTTCTTGGCAAGGGCATGCGGCATCCGATTTCACTCTGTGGGCAACACTGCATGATGGTGTCTAGCGAGGGTCACGCCTTCTAAATCGCTCGTATGCACAATTGTTTGTCTAGGGCAGCCAGCCTTAAAATGTCCGGTTCTGCGCATGTCCGCGTAGCTGAGCAGCAATGCTTCACAGCATCCGGGTGCAAGTGTATCCAATCAGCAAAGCTTCCACGATCACCAGCCCCGGCGACCTCGTTGATGTCTCTTGCTGAATCCTTTGATGTTGTTCGCTACCGCTACTTCCTCTTTTTTTTTGGAAATCTCATGGGAAGCATGAGTAAACAATCCCAACGTGTGCCACGACCGGTGTCCACACGAAGCGCGCTTTGCAAGGTGAACTACTTCTCAGCATCGCCTCCTCTGTCCAATCAAGAAGCCAAGCGCCTTGAAGCTTCAAACCCTAGACCCTAAACCGTGGTAGCCATTTTGGCTCAAGCGGATTTGTCGCAAGCCACACCCGGCGCAACAGCGATCTTGATCCGACCAACCATGGCATCTCCTCCAACTTTCGAGGCCATCCATGTGGAGTCCGAGGAAGAGGCGAAGAACTCTCCCAAGAATTCCCGTGGCTGGATGAAGAAAGCAGCCCTTGCCCTGGCCCTGGGCCTGGGTGTCCTGGGCTTCATGGCCATGCCGAAGGCGCAGAGGTTCTGCCAGGGCTTGGATCTCCTCGCCTTCCAGGGCAAGGCCGACCTCGGCTTGGAC